ACCTAAAAGAAGGCAAAAAAAAGAAAAAGGCAAATAGCAGATGAGAAGGTAAGAAGCAAATATAGGGATGATAGACTTCAACCTGGCCATATTAATAATCACATTAAATATATATGCACTAAATACCCCAGTTAAAGGGGAGAGATTGTCAGTTTGGATTAAAAAGCACAATTCAAATATGTGCTGCCTTTTAAGAAATGCACTTTATATCTAAAGGCAGCAGGTTCAAAGTAAAGCAATGGAAAAAATATACCATATTTACACTAGTCAAAAGAAAAACTGGAATAGCTATATTAATATCACAGATTTCAGAGCAAAGAACTTACCATGGATAAAGTAGATCATTTCATACTGATGCAGGCATATTGCATTATATTGCACATCACTTTCTTGTGATTTGTAGTTACTGCATTTTTTACAAATTGAAGATTCAAGACTTCAGTGGAGGAAGTAACTGCAGATGTGGCAGAAATTGCAAGAGAACTAGTATTAGAAGTGGAGCCTGAAGATGTGATTGAATTGCTGTGAGCTCATGATAAAACTTGAATGGATGAGGAGGTGCTACTTATGGATGATCAAAGAAAGTGGTTTCTTGAGGTGGAATCTTCTCCTGGTGAAGATGCTGTGAAGATTGTTGAAGTGACAACAAAGGATTTAGAATATTCCATCAACTTACTTGATAAAGCAGCAGTCACGATTTGAGAGTATTGATTCCAATTTTGAAATAAGTTCTACTGTGGGTAAAATGCTATCAAATAGCATCACATGCCCCAGAGAAATCATTTGTGAAAGGAAGAGTCAATCTATGTGGCAGACTTCATTGTTGTCTTATTTTAAGAAATTGTCAGTCATCCCAGCCTTCAGCACCACCACCCTGATCAGTCAGCAGCCATCAACGAGGCAAGACCCTCTACCAGCAAAAAGATTACCACTTGCTGAAAGCTCAGATGGGGTTAGCATTTTTTAATGATGAAGTATTTTTTAATTAAGGTATATACATTGTTTTATTTAGACATAATACTATTGTACACTTAATAAACTACAGTGTAGTGTAGACATAACTTTTATATGAACCAGGAAACCAAAAAATTCATTTGACTTACTTTATGGCACTATTCATGTTACTTTGGTGGCCTGGAACTGAATCCACAATGTCTCTGAGGTATGCCCGTAAAGGGTTTAATTCATCAGGAGAACTTACAGTCCTACATATTTATGTGTCTAATAGACCTTCAAAGTACAGTGCATGAAGCAAAACTGACAGAACTGTAAGGAGAAATAGGAAAATAAACAATTATAGTTGGAGATTTCACTATTCCTCTCTTAAAAACTGATAGAACAAGTAGACAGAAAATGAGTAAAGATATAGAAGATTTAAGCAACTCTGTTAACCAACTTCACCCAATTGACATTTATAAAATGCTCTGTCCTACATCAGCAGAATATACTTTCTTCTCAAGTGCACACAGAACATTTACTAAGATAGACCATACCCTGTGCCAAAAAACAGGTCCCAATAAATTTAAAGGTGTTCAAGTCATACAGAGTATGTTCTCTGACCATAATGGAATTATGTTGGAAAGCAGTAGTAACAGGAAGATAACTGGAAAATTCCCAAACATTTGGAAAATAAATAACATGTCTGAATAACCCAAGGGTCATGGGAGATATCAAAAAGGAAATTAGAAAATATCTTGAACTGAATGAAATTGAAAATATAGCCCATAAAAACTTAAAACTTATAGGATGCTGCTAGAACATAGAGGAAATTTATAGGCTACATTCCCACTTTATTTTTATTTTTTTTAAAGATTTATTTATTTGAGAGAGAGAGTGAGCAGGGGGAGGGGCAGAGGGAGAGGGAGAATCTTAAGCAGACTCCCCACTGAGTGTGGAGCCCAATGCAGGACTTGATCCCCACAACACTGAGATCATGACCTGATCTGAAATCAAGAGTCAGATGCTTAACTGACTGAGCCACCCAGGCACCCCTACATTCCTACTTTAGAAGTGAACAAAGATCTCAAATCAATGACTTCAGCTTCATCTAAAGAACAAACTGAACCCAAAGTGAGTGGAAGAAAGGAAATAATAGACATCAGAATGGAAATAAGTGGAATAGAAAACAGGAAAATAATAGAGAAAATCAGTGGGACCAAAAGCAAAGAAGATTAATAAGATTGACAATCCCCTACCCAAACTGATTGGGAAAAAAGGGGACAAGACACAAATTACCATAGTCAGGAATAAGAGGAGTAATATCACTACAGATTCTACAGATACTGAAAGGAAGGATAATAAAGCAATATTATGAATGCTTAGCTTATAATTTCAACAATTTAGATGAAATGGACAAATTCCTTGAAGACAGACACAAACTACCAAAATCCACTCAAGAAGAAACAATCTGATGATAGGTTTTTTTTTTTAAGATTTTATTTATTTATTTGAGAGAGAGAGAATGAGAGACAGAGAGCATGAGAGGGAAGAGGGTCAGAGGGAGCAGCAGACCTCCTACTGAGCAGGGAGCCCGATGTGGGACTCGATCCCAGGACCCCAGGATCATGACCTGAGCCGAAGGCAGTCGCTTAACCAACTGAGCCACCCAGGCACCCCTGATGATAGTTTTGAATTTGTAACTAAAACCTTTCTGCAAAGAAAACAAGAGATATGAAAGCATATGTCCAATTTAAAAAAAAAGTATACCTGAATATGGGTAGCAGCTTCTGGTGTAACAGAAATTAGAAACAAGGCAAATGTTGATCAACAGGTGAATAGATAAACTATAGTACATATAGTACATACTATCATTTGGACAACAGTGCTACTCAGAGTAAGATTTAACTATTTGATATATGCTCCAACATGATGGATCTCAAAGTAATTATGCTGAGTGGAAAGAAGCCAGATTAAAAAAGAAAACATGAGAGAAAAACATAAGATAGGATTTCATTTTTGTATAATTTAAAAAAATGCAAACTGATCTGTAGGAACAGAAATCATATTAGTGATTTCCTTGGTCAAACTTGTTGGTGTGGGGACCAGGAAGCATGAGGAAACCTTTGTCAGGTATGTTTCTTTTCTCACTTGTGGTGGTGTCACTTGTCACATAAGCCCAAACTGGTCAAATTATACACTTTAAATATGTACTGTTTGTTGTATATTAATTATACCTCAATTTAGTTTTTCTTTGTTAAGAGCCCCAGGCGACTCAAGTGGATTTGGGACAAATTTGAGAGTCAAGACAAAGTTGGGAATCATTGCTCCAGTCCCTTAAATCCCTGGTTCCACCATACAGAGATGACCTATTCTAGGCAGTTTCCTGTTATGAAACTGGAACATTCCAGAAATATGCATATACAAACACATATATTCCTTGTTTTAAATCCACAAATGGTAGCACTTTATACCTATATATATCTTCTGTACTTTTTTCACTTACTATATCTTAGAGTTCTTTCCATATCAGTGAGTATGGAATGGTTTCACTTTTTAATCTAGCTGTATGTTAATCTTTTGGATATGGATCCTGATCATTTTGACTACATGAAGTTGGTACTGTATGCTTATTTTAAAACTCTCTTGGAATGGAGATGTAACTTGAGTTGTTGTTATAATTAATTTTTCTTTTAAGTTTACCCTTAAGTCCTCACTTGCAAGCTACATAATATGACAAAATGCTTTCATTTCTGTGAGTATACAAGTTTTCTAGAAGGCCAGATTCACTATGAGTTAGTATTTTTTTCACCAGTAAAGTCTATATATCTATGTGAAATGTTGACAAGTGTTACATTTTGAAAAGCTATTATGACATTTTGTTTTCCTTGTCCCTTCAATGTGAAATTTGGTGTTTGATTTGTTCTTCAACACACAGTTTTTTAAATTACTTATTTTTTTATCCTTTGGTGGTTAATTCAGTGTTAATCATTAGGCCACAGCTATTCTAGAGATGTATACTGTGTAAACCAACCTGCTATCAACATGTATTTTTGGCAAAGAATTCTTTGGCTAAACTCTTGCTGGCCTTTTTTTTTTTTTTTAAACAGCAGCTGGTCAAATGGGCCAATACCAAAATAGTTTTTTTTTTTTTAAGATTTTTTAAATTTTTTGACAGAGAGAGAGACAGCGAGAGAGGCAACACAAGCAGGGGGAGTGGGAGAGGGAGAAGCAGGCTTCCCGCGGAGCAGGGAGCCTGATAGGGGCTCAATCCCAGGACGCTGGGATCATGACCTGAGCCGAAGGCAGACACTCAGTGATTAAGCCACCCAGACACCCCAGTAATTCTTGTTTTTTAAAGTGAACTGCATTCTTTAGTTGTCAGAGTATGTTTCAACAGGAAGACTACCTTCAAAGTCAAGGAACCAATTTATATGGGGGCCTCAATTTCCTAATGGCCATTTTATGTGTCCTTCACAGGTTTTCTGTAATTTTCAGTCTTAATGCAACAGGAATCTCAAAGTGTACATTATCCAAACTACCCAAATTGTCATATACTCTGTGCACTTACTAGGTTTACTAGTGAACGTTGAGTCTTTTTATGACTAATGATATTCTGAACTTCTGGCCAGCATTTCATCAGCTGTTCAGTAAGTGCAGTTCGTATCAGTCAAGTATTTGTTCTATGTTCATTAGCTGATGAAGTCAGAAGAGTCACTGCAGCTCCTCAGGATTTTCACTCACTCATTTTTCAAATCATTAAATTCTGCATTCCTATAGTCTGGTTTCCCAGCTCCTTGTTCACCTCTTTGTCCTCCATGTTGTAGGATTTCCGGGGATTGTCCCTATCCTATCCAGTTGTGTTTGCTTGTATTTGCATGCCTGAGGTCATGTTTCTGAGGGGTCTATAGTGGCATAAATATACATGTTTTGAATGTCATCTTTCCCTGAAGTGAGGGGTCTTTGGGCTGAGAAAATGGTTTTACTGAGTAGTTATCCTTCAGACCCATCTCCATCTCCAAGTACTTTTTAGTTTATTCAGGATGTGTCCTTCTCTAACCTAGGGAAAGTGTGGAGAGCCTGATCCAGAAGCATTCCTATGCCCGCTCACCCATCCGTACCTATGGAGGAGAAGAGGATGTGCTGGGGGATGAGGTTCAGACAACACAGAATCGAGGTAAGACGGCTTCCGGGCTATGTAACTGCTGGGAGCAAGAGCACCCAGAACGAGAAAGAAAGGTAGGTGATGAAACTTGCAGTCCTCAGGGTGCACTCTGCCCCCAGAGTATTTCAGGAGTCTCTTGAGGAAAGGATAGCCCCTGAGGCTGATTTTCATACAGTTCATTATTTTGCTTCTGAGTCTTAAGTGATTATTCTGCCTGATGGTTTCCTGTGGTTTTCTAGTGAAAGGACATCAAGCCTCTGAGTCAGGGCTCAGGAGTTACTGGTCTGTGATCTACCACCAAAGACCTGTTGGACTCTGGGGGCAGTCCTTTAGTCTTTCTGAACCCTAATTTTATAATCTGAAAATCGGGAACTATATCTCTTCCTCTTATAAGATATTCTAGAAATATCTTATTAGGATCGATGACTAAAATGACTTTACTTTTTAAAAGATTTTATCTGAGAGAGTGCACACGCGCATGAGCGGGGCGTAGGGTGGGGTCGGGGAGGGACAGAGGGAGAGGGAGAAGCAGACTCCCCACTGAGCAGGGAGCCCAACATGGGGCTCAAACCAGGACTCTGTGATCATGACCTGAGCCGAAGGCAGATGCTTAACCTATTTAGCCACCCAGGCGCCCTGGAAAACACTTTTTTAAAAGAAGATTTTCTTAGTGAAGGGCATTACGTACAGGCAGTGGCCCCAGCGGTGACAGTAGGGGGATACTGAAAAATTCCTCTGTCCCAAAGACTCACAAAGGAGCACTTTGCACTTGGGAGTCCAGAGGGTGCCTAAACCTGGGCACAGGGATATTTGTGTGGGGAGAGAGCCCTCTGTCATAATTTTATGTCTCTTATATGGAATAGCATAATCTGTCAAAATATAGGACATCTCTTCAAACTAAATCCAAATGGACTACTAGTAATTAATTATACAGTTGGAAAATTCAGTGTCAACTTTTGTTTAAACTTGTGGATGCTGTGATATAAGAAAAACTTACTCTTGTAATTTGTCAAATATTTAATAAGGAATTATGGAATCTAGAAAAAGAAAAACATGCTTGTGGGTTTTCACAATGCCTTTAAGAACCCAGTAACTTTGTTGAGGCTCATATGTCCAGCCTTCCTTATAAGGATGTTGTAGAGGTCAGGACAGATAACAGCTATTTGGAGCTCCTTTAAAGGGAATCCAGTTATTACTTCCAGGCAGGGTTCTAGTGTTTTGGCCATTCTCTGGGAGCATGTAGGCCATCTAATGAGTTAAGTCTTTTTCTGTTTAGTAAATTCTCTCTTCCATATATGGTAGAAATGATATCTTACCTGGAAAGGTAGCTGTGACTTATGGTTGACATGCTTGTCTTTTTAAATTGCAGATCAATTATATTTTTTAAAAAATCAATCAATCCTTACAGATAATGTAATTCTTGATTCGCACACTGAAACAGAGTTTCTAGTCTAATGAGTTGTTTTTCCTTTCAGGGTCAGCCTTTACAACGTCTGATAATTTGTCTCTCAGCTCCTGGGTTTCATCTTCATCCAGTTTTCCTGGATTTCAGCACCCCCAGTCCCTTACTGCACTTGGCACCAGCACAGCATCCATAGCAACACCCATTCCTCACCCTATACAAGGTTCATTGCCACCATACAGCCGACTTGGGATGCCTCTGACACCATCAGCTATTGCCAGCTCGATGCAGGGGAGTGGCCCGACATTCCCCTCATTCCACATGCCCCGGTACCATCACTACTTTCAGCAGGGGCCCTATGCTGCTATCCAAGGACTGCGCCATTCCTCTGCGGTGATGACACCATTTGTATGACTCTTCTAAACCTTGGAGAATCCAGATCCAGGATGTGCAAATGGGTATGGAAATATGGGACAGAGTTGGGTGGGTGGGATGTGGGGTGTTAGAGCAGGAGCTCTCCAGGAGACATGGGACTTATTAAAGAGGAGAGCTGGACTCACAATAAAACCTACCACTGAGGGAGTGCACCACAGACCGGGAGTCATGTGTAGTTTGGGGACAGCTCTTGGGTTCGAGAGAGAATCAGTATAGACTTAGCCAGCCTAAATCCTGCAACCAATAGTATACTAACTTACCCAGGAAATTTCATAACACAGGTCAGATGAATTTTAAGGTGCATTATACCTAGCAGTTAAAAATGCTGTGTCAATGCAGTAATGTATAAAATCAATGTGTAGAGGTTTTCTTTCTGCTTTCCACAGGTCAAAAGAATCTTCCAAGAGGCAATATATATAACATACCAACCGTAATGCATAATGACTAACTTAAGTCCATTTCTCCCTGTAGAAAATGAGAGCCAATAGAGAAATATTTGTAGTGTTGTAGCTTAAGCATGTTTAGTTTTCCTTTGTATTAGTTTGCTTGGGAAGGGGCCGAGATAATGCTGAAGCATCCTATTTTGTGGATGAATAGGCGGTAATGACTTCACAAAGTTCTTTTTGTCATACTGAAGGGCCAGTACCTGACAAGCTCTTTTTCCCAGTCTTGGCTTCTTTCTTCCTAATTCTCTTTCTTGCAATTACTTGCCATTTATGTAGGAAAAACCTTCTATACACAATTTTGAAGCAAGAGGCTCTATGTGTTACATTGTAAAACTGAGGTTTTATTTTTCTGGGCTGCGTTCTAAGTGCACTACTGACTTACTCATTGAGGAACACTTCTAAAGCCTCTGTGCGATGACACCTGAGACTTTCTCTCAGTCTGCAATAACAGGACGGTTGCCCGGTTCTTAAGGGAATTTCTCTGCCATGGGTACCAAAGGCCCCTTCATTTTTACTTCAGCTTTGGGAGATCTTTTGGATGGTAAAATGGACTGGGCCAAATTCTCATTTTTGGTAAATTTGCTTTGTTATTAGATAGCTGTTAACCACTGATTGACAAGGATTTGTGAATGACCATTCTGTATGCCCATATAGCCACCATTTAAGCTATGCTTACAAGTTGTGTGTCCATATATCTGGTTTGTCCTTCTTTCTTACTGCTCTATTCAGTGACTCCTTTACCATTTTTCTAGTCCATTATATGAAATCGTATGTCAACTCAGTGACCCCCTGACTAAAACACTGGCAGTGCTTGTAAATCAGTGTAAAGCATTTATCCTCTTTATTTTGCATTCTTAATGTCTTCTTAAGCCTTCCTTTAGTGTTTAGTAATTAGTTATATTTTAGCTATCTATAATCATTATATTTGGGGGGCAACATATATCTAAGCATTTACAGTCAGGGGAGCATATTTGGCATTTTGCAACAGTTCGTTTCCCTAACAACAGAAATTGAGTAAAGTTTACAGTCCTTCAACTTTAGATTGCTATGAGATACAACCTGTCTTCTTTACAGTGTTCCCCAAAACTCTATATTAACCTAATTTAGATTTTGTATCTACTTTGTTCTGACTATAAAAGTACTGAATCTGTTAAAAGAGATGGGAAATATCACTGCTGAGAGTAGAGATGGGAGTAAATGCAATATACTTATCACATCAGACTGCATGGAATTCTATTTGGTTGTTCTATTAGGCTTTCCCATACCAAATGCTTCTCTGGGGCATTTCTAGTCTAGGAGACGCGGCATAATGGCAGAGCCTGTCTATGTGATGCCATTGTTGCTGGACTTTGCAATTGTTTTTCTCCACTGTGGCCCACAGTTCACTTATGGAGAAGCATGGGCTGTGCCAACCAAGCATCTCAGATTCCTACGGCAGACACCGCAGGCTAATTTCTAACTTCTTGCATGTTATGCTATAGTATCCACAGGTAGTTTGTTTTCAAACACAGCATAAATAATGCGTTTCTTTAAAAAAGCAGCTGTGACTAATGTTTAAGTATCCATAGAGCTTAGGATAGGGATTTGATACTTAATAGTTGGCCTGTTGCCAGTACTCTTTTTAATACACAGTACTGCTGCTTACAGCAGGAGTAATAAAACTAGATGCTATTTAACATGATGCTACTTGATACTCTGGTAAATTGCTGGTCTACTAAAGTGAATCTGTATCGGAATTTTCTTTTCGATGAGAATGAAAGGATCATTTTAATACTATTTAGACATTTTTCCCAGTTGACGTGTCTTAAAGTAGGTGTTTTATGTTTTTGTTAAATATGGTTTTACACCAGTATTTCCTGACTTCATAATTTGATTTTGTAATTAAGCAGAATAAGGCTAAAAATAAGTAGAGTGCTTCAAGGAAAGCAAAGACTAAGATACCAAAGCATGCTCTTCAGGAATAACACCTGAAATTCTAAATTGGATATATTCTTAAAGTATTTGGCATTATTTTAACCAGAAATAAAAAGCACAGGGTACATGGAGCTTAACTTGATCAAAGTCACCCTAGCCATGAGAACCAAGGGTAGAAATTTACTCCAACCTGGGTCTTTCTGAGCTATTCTGGTTGTTGATTCTTTCTTAACTCTTTGGGCATTTAAGATTTTAAAGTCTAAAGTCTATCCTACCAAAAGTAATTATTAGAACTAGATAGTGGAAAAGCCAATTGAATAATTAAGAGCATGAGTTACAGTGTATTTGGAATAAATTCAGGGTTTCCCCCCACAAGGTATAGTACAGTATCAAAATACATCGCTGATGTGCAGTGCTGCTAAAAAGAGGCCCTTTCAGAACTGCTTTATCTAACCTGAAGGGATTAATTCATATCTTAGTAGGTTCTGCAGACCTGATTTGTTTTTAAAACATTTATCAATAATGCTGAGTAAGTTCAGTTATTTCTTTTGCTTCTTTTTCAAGTCTTCCCCCTCCTCTGTCCACTCTTAGCAATATTATATAGGTAAAGTATATCCATCTTGTGTCTAATATATCACCAATTATTAGGTTACAAGTTCTATATTAATGAATTTAGGTTACACTGCTGGTCCTTTTGAGTTTATAACAAAGGTTTGTTGTTCTTCCTAGTAGATGGGCACAGAATGGGAGGTATTAAAAAGATACTAAGAAAAACCCTGTGTAGAGCTCTACTATAGGAGTTACATTAACTTCTGGGATATTCCAAGATCTTCCCTTCCTCACTCTCATCCACATCTCTGTTACAACACTTCTCCAGCCACAACATCCCCAGCCCCCCATTCAAAAAAAGAAAAAGGATGCCCTCCAAAAGCCCAAGAAAAAAGTATTTTTACTTTTTTTTTTTATGTCAGTCACCATACAGTACTTCATTAGTTTTTGATATAGTGTTCCATGATTCATTGTGTGTAACACCCAGTGCTCCTTGCAATACATGCCCTCCTTAAAAAAGTATTTTTAGAAGAAAGGGATTCCCCATTCCCATACTGCCTATGAATTTTTCAGACAGATGTTAGGATATTTAACCCATTTCTAAATTTCATGGCTTTTCAGGCTGTCTTGCTAATATTTAAGCTGAATTATACTGAGAAAAATGAGCTTCAGATACAATGGATAGAATGACTTTATCACCCCATTAAATATGCAGTCTTGCTTAGCCATGACTCAGCAACTAAAGTTCAAAAAACTCAGTTATGTAATGTGCAGGGTCACATATTATAAGACAAACAATATTTTAATTCAGTCTTCCATTGAGTAAGGAAACTATTTACATTATTAAACATGTATGGAATTGATAATTATTACAAACAAAACAATATTACACCCTAGTCTAGACAAGCAAGCAAGCACTGGACAGAAAAGATTTTCAGCTGGCTCCTTTAGACAGCTTGGTTGGAGGAATGGATTTTACATGTTTTTATATTATTTCAGAATGCAAGCATTTTATGTAAACGAAAGGTTAAAAATTCTTAAACCTTTAGAAAACCATAAAATAATTTCTTCACTAATATTCCATGCCAATTATAAAATATTCTAATATTTATCTTTCTTCAGCATGCTTAAATATGCAAAGTTTCATTTATAAATATTTGATAGGCAAATAATCCATAAGTATTTTTTGGCCCTTCTTTCTCTGTCCCTCCCTCAATTCTAATCCCCTCCCCTGATAATAAGAAAATAAAAACATTGGTAAAATAATACATCTAGACAAAAAATACAATTTGTTGTATTTTACTTCTGATACATTAAAATATGTATTGTTTTTTCCTTATTTTCAGAAACCTAAAAGAACGTCTTTTATTTCCTAAAGGATAAAATTGGATATACCCTCTTTAGTAGACTCTATCACAGTTCTATTGTTTGCTGTGTTCATTTGCTTAATGAATTGCGTGAGAACAGTCACTGTAATGAAGTGTGTGTGTTGGGGGTGGGGGGAAGGGCATGGGAAATGTTTTATGAAAAAGAAGTTATAAGCCTAATACTATGAAGTAACATCTAATGAAGTTCTTTTTAAGTGCAATATATTTATTTCTGCTAGAAATGTATTATCAACATTATGTAATATTTGAAGCATTACATGTTATTTGTAAACAGCTTAAAATTATATATTACCCAAAATTGTACAGTACAAATGTGTGATATTAATTTCTTTCATTAAAAATGGTGTGTTTTGATATATATGCACACATTTACACCTTTCATTATCTTACACACTTGCTTCATGACTTTTGGTACCTGTTTCCTCACTTGGAAAAAAAATGGATTAGGTAAGATTAGGGGTCATAGCTGGCCACTCCCAGACCAGACACAGCCAATGGGATTACTATACAGAGTTTGGGTGTTTTTTTTTTTTTTAAGATTTTATTTATTTATTTGACAGGGAGAAACACAATGAGAGAGGGAACACAAGCAGGGGGGTGTGGGAGAGGGAGAAGCAGGCTTCCAGCTGAGCAGGGAGGCTCGATCCCAGAACCCTGGGATCATGACTTGAGCTGAAGACAGACGCTTAACGACTGAGCCCCCCAGGTGCCCCTGGTTTTTGTTTTTAATTGTATTTGGAAGCCTATAGAGAAGTCATTGCTGTCAAGTCCCCACTGGTTCCCATTTTCCTACACCTAAATCCCCTTCATTCACTTACTCCACCTGATGAATTCTTAGAATCATGGGATTTTGCACCTCTCTGTATGGAAAGATACTGAAGACTCCATAAAGCTTAAAGCTTACCGCTCATTCCAGCCATGAGCTCTTCGATGTGCTGTAATGGTATTACACAAAGTAGGCTGATAAAAAATAAGATTAGCCAACTTCAGTCTTAATCCTTCCACATGACAGTCCTTCAGAATATTTGACGTTATCATACCTTCTGCTTTCAGAAGTCTGCTCTATTATCCTTAATTTTTTGTGCATGCCAAACACCAACCTTTTAAAAAATCTTTTATTTGGAATAATTCCAAGCTGACAGAAAAGTTGTAAGGATAGTATAAAGAACACTGTATACTCTTTACCCAGATTCACCCATTGTGAACTTTTTGCCCCATTTATCATTTGCATTCACACTGAGGTAGTGCATGTACTACCCCCTACACACACGTAATATATACAGATTGTTTTCCTCCATTTGAGAGTAAGCTTCACTTATCATGCCTCACTACCCTAAGTAATTCAAAGTGTACTTCCTAAAACCAAGATGATTCCATTAAATACCCACAGGACAGTCAGCAATTTGGGGACATTTAACAGTGGTAAAATGCTGTGATCTACCATCTGTATTCCAATTTTGTCAAATGACCCAGTGATGTCCTTTGTGGTATATTTCTTCCTTCAGTCTGGATCCAGTGCAGGAGCACATCTTGCATGTAGTTATCACGCTTCTTCAGTCCTTTAAACTGGTACAGTGCCTCGGCCTTTATGTCTCTTTCATGGCAAAATAATTCCTATTTTTCAATGTTTTATAATTTATTACCATTCTTAGTTATCCTAGTGCTCAAATCACCCCAGTATGGTCATCAGGAGCCCCTCAGGTTGGCTCCTGTGTCCTTTTGACATGCCCTAATTGACTTTTTTTTTTTTTTTTTGCACTCAGTTTCTGGCATAATACATTGTTTGAGGCTCATCTTGTACCCTTTCTGGAACCAGCCATTTCTCTAAGGAATCCAGATTCCTTTTAGTTGAGGAACTATATTAGAAACCAAAATCTGGGTGCCAGATGTGCTCACTGGGGTATGTTTGTGTCTAGGCCCTCTCAGACAAGAGAACTGGGAATATATATGTATATAAGCACACACATCTCTGTGTGTGTGTGTGTGTGTGTGTGTGTGTGTGTGTGTGTGTGTACAGGATGTATAAGACATCATGAGTTTATGCTGCTATCTCCAATTCCAGCGCACTCCCATAGGGGACTTCTTTGCCTTGCTTTGCCCCATTCCATATCTGTATGTGTCTTCTTCCACAGTGAGACTGGCTCCTGGCTCCCAACCTCAACATATTTACTCAATTCTACCATATGCCCCAAATAATTTCATATTGCTTCACTCATAAAACTGCAATAAACAAACCTTCTAAAAAGAGTTCAGATTTTGTTTGCAGTTGTTCCCTGCCGCCCCACCCCCGACTAAGGGAATACAGTCAAGTCACATGTTTAGCAGTTACTTAGTGTCTTTTTTATCCTACTGTATGGTTATGTCACTCATTCACAATACAACTGGGTTCATTTGTTCAGTTTCTTACAGTTTTTTTTAATTATTTATTTATTTATTTATTTAGTAAGCTCTACACCCAACATGGGGCTTGAACTCATGATCCCAAGATCAAGAGTCACATGCAATCAAGCCAGCCAGTTGCTTATAATTTTAAGGATTTTTTTCCTTTTCATTCTTACTGATTTTTAAATATGGAACATTAACATGCTTCCAACAAAAAACTCATAGGACTAATAAATTATATCAAGGTTGTGGGATGCAAGGTTAATATAAATAAATAAATATATTAATATAAATAAGTAAATTGCTTTCCCATATATCAGCAATGAACAATTAAAAATTTGAAATTAAAAACATAACACCATTTATATCAGCACCCCAAAAGGGAAAAGAAAATACTGAGGTATAATATGTATAAGATCTATATGAGGAAAACTATAAAACTCTGATGAAAGAAATCAAAGATCTAAATAAATGGAGAGATAGTCCATGTTTGCAGATAGGTAGACTCAATATTGTCAAGATGTCAGTTCTTTCCCACTTGGATCTATAGATTCAACATAATCCAATCAAAATCCCAGCAACTTTTGTAGCTATCAACAAACTGACTCTATATGGAAAGGCAAGAGACCCAGAATAGCCAACAAAATACTGAAGAAGAACAAAGTTGGAGATTGAAAATACCTGACTTAAGAACTTGCTCTAAGCTAAAGTAATAAAGATAGTATGGTATTGGTGAAATAACAGACAAGTAGATTAACAAACAATAGAGAGTCCAGAAAATAATCCTTGTGCCTTGATATTGGGAAAATGGTGCACTGCTTTGGAAAACAGTTCATCAACAGGTTAAACATAGAGTTAACATATGGCCCAGGAATTCCACTCGTAGTCTACACCTAGGAGAAATGAAAACATATGTCCACACAAAAACTTGTACATGAATATTCATGGCAGCATTTTTCATAATAGCCAAAAAGTGGAAACAACTCAAACATTCATCAACTGGTGAATGGATAAACTTTGGCATATCTATACAATGGAATATTTAGGTATAGAAAGAAATGAAGTACAGATAGATACTACAACATGGATGAACCTTGAAAACCAGGTAAAAGAAGCCAGACACAACCACGTATTGTGTGATTCCATTTGTATGACATAGCTAGCATCGGCATAGTCATAGTGACAGAAGGCAGATTAGTAGTTACCAGTGGCTGGGAAGGCAGGAGGAATGAGAATTACTGCCAGTGGGTGTAGGGGTCTCTTTTGGGGGGAGTGAAAAGATGGAACTAGTACTGATGATTACACAACCTTGTGAATATACTCAAGTCACTGAACTCTACAATTTAAAAGAATGTCTCCTATGGTATGTGAATTACAGATCACCGTTATTTTTAAACATAAGAGAAAAAGCCATGCAGCAAATCTTTTATTTCCATTTTTAGCGCCCAACTTGTCAACTTTGAGGACTTCCAGGGGAGTAAATCTTACATACTTGTGAGTTAAGAGTGGGCATTCTAGAATCTTCTCCCTGCCTCATTTTTTTTAATCTGTAAAAGAAAGATAATACTGCCAATTTGATAACACTGTATGGCCTTAAGCCCTCCATTTATATTAATTTATTTTTATCCCCTCCTGGTTTTTTTCCTAGAAAGAATTGTAGCTAGTTCTTTGAACTCCCTAGGTGGGAAAAAGATGATATAAATCATTCCCTCTCTACCCTGAGCCTTGATATGGCATTAATTGCTACCTTTTCTAGAACATTTGCTATAACTATGCACTTTATATACCTTATCTTATTTAATCTATGCAACAGCTCTCTGAGGTAGGAACTAGTATTATTTCCATTTGAGGTATGAAAAAGCTAAGGTGTAGAGAAAATTAGTGCTCAGAACCTACATCAGTGAGATAGCCAGGATTCAAATCCTGTCTGTACTCATAACTGAGATACTGTGCTAACCCCTCAAATATTTCTAAATTTTAAGAAATTTTTTGAAAGTCTACATTGCCTTTACTGAACCCATATAAACAACCTTAATCAAGAAACATAAAAGCTGCATAACCCTAACAAATTTTCTCTTAGATTACATAATTGTCACTGGTAAATGTCTCAAGAAGAGTTTTAGATTATGGCAAAGAACAGAAGGGAAATTATCTTTTGCGGATAGGTCAATATCCGTGGGGAAGCAGGACTCTGCTGCCCAAAGCAAGAGTCTGGTGGTCTTGATGTAAACACTTATTACTCATTTGGGGATACTTTTCCTTCTCCCTTATACTCCAGTTCCAACTTCGTTCTGCTAGAGCAAAGAAATAATTAGAAAATAGGAACAATGAAGCCCACTATACTAAAAGACTGGACAGCAAGTGGAATCAGGGAGGAATCAGAACAGAGACCAGGGATGAAGTGGAGGCCAGGTTGGGGCTGGGATGAACAGGTTCAAGAGCGATAGGCTTAGCTCATCTGGATTGACAGTAAAGTGTAGCACCTGGAGTACAAGATGGAGATAAACTGTGGGGTAGACTGCTGAGAGGAAGACCCTCAGGGTGGAATCCAAACGCAGCTGGATGCACACGAGGAGAGAAGGGAAGCAGTGCTAAGAAGAGAGCTGGGTACAGGGCACTGTATGACCCAAGAGCCATATTTTTCTTGCTACTTAAGTATATGCACAAATACTAATCAGAATCAGATAAAAGACTTGAATCAGGCCATATAGTCCAAAGTCTTTATATTCCATAGTCAGGGAAATAAAAGCTAGAGAAGTAAATTGCCCAAAACATACTGGGCCCAGTACAGTGATATTTCTAGACTACTATGTCATAATCAAAGTTAAATCAATCTAGGATATTATGGGATACAAAACAGCACACAGATGCCTTATATATCTTTGCTGTTTTGCTATGTTTTACATTTAATCTGCCCACACATATTCTACAATTCACTCTTTAATATAGTCTAAGACTTCTGTTCATTAATATTGAATGTAGTAATTCTTGTAATTGTTACTTTGGTGGTAAATAAAACTAATCTTGGTATTTTTGGGTTTGTACATGGAACTATCATCATTCATTTCATGGAAAAATAGATTTTGGGGAGGGTGGTATATATATTATATATATGTGTGTGTGTATATATGTACATATATATATATACACGTATGTGGTTGTGTATATATTGCTTAAGTCACTTAATGATTACTGAATACCTTTCTTCTCAAATCAGTGTGTACATACTATGCAATTAGGCAGTCTCCCCATGTGGTATGGGGGTGGGTGAAGGAATTTTCCCAATTAACTCGTGGATTACCCCCTTCCTTTGAATGAATTATGCCTATATAAATCTATCAAGGGCAAAGTGATCTCATTTCATCTAGTATAGGCTTGGTAACAACTGACCAGAGTATGGATGGTGGAAGGAGCTCCAGTTTTTAAAAGGAGAATAAGCCCCTTGTGGACACAGAAAGTAGACTAGAACTCCTAGACATTCCAACTTATCGTAGGTACCTTTCTCATGTGGATGAAAAGGCAGCCGCATGCAAAGCACTACATATGAAGTGTTGACGTTCAAGCTGTATGCTTCACCGCACCTGGTGACTTTCCATTTTCTCCTATGAAGAAGCACCTGCATCCAGCTAGAATTAAAGCAGGATCTATAAAGTAAACCAATAGTAGCAAACATACTATTTAAAAGTGAATCAATCCAAGGTGTGTAATGGTTTGACTGAAGTAGTTGTTTTATAAAATACACATGTGCAAAAACATTTCTTTTAGTGGAGACAACCTGCGAAAAGACCTTTTAACATATAAAACAAACCAATTAGAAAACACATAGTCACCAAGAAGCACATACCCATAGTTTATCCTGTTTTTTGGAGACAAAAACAGAGATACATGATTAAATAAAAAAGTTTTTTCATCTTTGCAAATTTATAGAAAGTCCTACAAAAATATAAAAAAAGAGTCCCATTTGGTTCACTCTTTTAAAACTTAACTGAAATGATGAAATCACTAAATAAAATGGCTCTAAAAGAATCTTGGATATGCAGTTCAATTACAGTTGACATAATTATGAGATCCTAAAAACTCTGCTACCATCTTTGGAACTATCTAATGGTGATAGGCTAGATACACACTTTGACACCAATTCCAACTCCTTGTACTGTCGAAGGGAAAAAAAAGTAATGTATAAGAATCTGTGAAACAACACAGATAAAAACCCATCTTTCATGCAGAAAAGTATCAATTAAAGTGAAATTAGTATGTTATCAAATTATAGAGGAAAATATAACCTTTTCAAAATGATGGTTCACTGAACTACCTCTCTTTTCTGATCCATATAACCAAGGTACATATAGATGTAACTTAGCTATCCACTTCAATTTATATCTATTTGCGTAAAGTTAAAATATTTAAATTTGATAAAAAAATTACTTGAATCCATTTAAGCAGTCATTATTATTTCAAAAACCAAATGTTGGCCATAAGTATCTTTAATAATTTGATATACGAAATATGTAACATAATTATTTTTATGTGGGATTAAATTTGGAGTTCCCCTACATTTCATATTTGGTAAACTGATTTATTACAAGGACAGTGATTTTTTTTTTAAACTACCTAAAAAAATTTTTTTAAATTTCTGATTTACAAGTCATTATTGCCATCTGCTGGTTATTTTGTTTCACTGCATTTTTGGGTAAAAATTACCAACTGCTTTCCTAAGAGACAAAGAGGAAACAGATGAGTTTTAGATACAGACGGAATTAGAAATCTCTATGGAAGAGAAACAATTTGCTAAATCACGAGGCATATTCACTTTAAATAGGATATAATATGCAAAAATATATTGTATTATACCAAATTATAATGTATTATTTTACTTGTCAGTTCATCATAGAATAAATATCAGGCATACTGGTTTAAGTTATTGTCATTAATAAGCATGTAGCTAAAATACAACTCAAATAACTGTCTGTTCAAAATAACTAAGTAGGGGTGCCTTGGTGGCTTAGTCAGTTAAACGTCTGTCTTCAGCTCAGGTCATGATCCCAAGGTCCTGGGCTACAGTCCTGCATTGGGATCCCTGCTCTGCAGGGAGTCTGCTTCTCCTTCTGCCTCTGCCTCTGCCTCCCTCTCTATCTCTCTCCGTCTCTCATGAGTAAATAAATAAAATCTTAAAAAAAAACCCAAAATAACTAAGTAAAATAAGTGACTGCTGTTGGAAGTTATAGAAAGATGAAAATGTGCCATGATTCTATTCAGCCATGTTTTCCTTCACATATACAAATCTATTCCTTTTTCTTTTTAAGAGAAACTAGTTTTATTTTATTTATTTACTTAAATTTTATTTTATTATGTTATGTTAATCACCATACATTACATCATTAGTTTTTGATGTAGTGTTCCATGATTATGGACTCTGAGAAACAAACTGAGGGTTCTAGAGGGTAGGGGGTGGGGAGATGGGTTAGCCTGGTGATGGGTTTTAAAGGGGGCATGTATTGAATGGAGGCACTGGGGGTTCTTAGTAAGAAAATGCATAATTATTTATGCAACTGTCTCTCAGTTTTTTTAAGTTAACTAATGAATCTAGCACTCACATTACTGTCTAATAATAGAACTATACAGAAATATAATTTAATGAAAAAGAATCCAGGTTAGCAAAATATTGTAATACTGACCAGTATACTTTTAATATGGTCAATCTAGAGCAAGATATAGGAACATTTTTTTAAATTAAGCATGTATTTTTTTTTAGGTGCTTTAGCATTTTTTCAGATGAGAAATTTTAGAGTGGCTAAGTTACTAGCTCAAGATCACACCATAGTAATCATCCACATATGAGTCCACTATGTAAAAGATTTAAAATGGAACCTGGCATATAGTTAATTATGTGTTGCTATATGCCTGAATCATATATATCCTGCTTCTTATACCTTAAACCCTATATCATGAGTATTTTTCCATATTATTAAATATTCAAATGACTTTAGTCAATTTAGGGATGCTTCATTGCATGAGTGTTCTATAATGTATTATTTGATGTGGAGGTTATTTCTAATTTTCACCAATAGAAATAATAATACATTGAACATTCTTATAAAAATTATATTTTAAATAGAAAAAATGACCAGATTAGTACTTTCAAGGGCTAAACCAAGGGTAAGAATGTTTTATTCTGTTAGTACATTGAGTGATCCAAGAGGCGACTGGAACTTCCAGAAAACAAATAAACAAACTGACCAAAAAGTGTTAACATAGGAAATAGGCAAAATAAACTGAAGGGTAGGAAACCAAAATCAGAAAGTTCAGTTCAGAACTGTACAGGAAAATGGCACTGAAAATGACATCTGGTCAACATTCCAGTAGCAGCCACTCCTTCCTTCCCACCCCTCATGAAAAAAACATAAAGTGTATAAAATCACTTGAATAATCTATTAACAAGGACCCTTAGAGTATCTTAAAAATATTCAACAACATACAGCTTAAAAGAAACACACCTATTAAAATCACAGAGAGTTGAGGGATAAACAGATTCATTGGGCAATTTCTAATTTTTTTTTTAAAAAAAGCACACATAGCCATATTAATCTCAGGTAGAGTAGGGTGTAGAATTCAGCCAACTTGAAATGTCTATGGGAAAACAGAAATTTCGCAAATAGACCACAGAAAAGGTAGACAATGTAAATAGACCAATAATCATGAAGGAAACTGAAAGATTAAAGAAAAAAAGGCTCCCAAACTAGATGTTCTAATGCAAAAAGGTGCAAATCTACCCAGTTCATTTTATGAATCTAATATAACTCTAATAAAAAATAATCATAGCCTTTCACTTACTGTTCTCAAAAATATTAAAATACATAAAAATAAGGTATTTTGAGTTTGCATATTTATTCAGTAACATATTTTTATCAACCACCCATAAATACCTTTCATTTTAAACTCAGTATTGGACAATTTTTAGCTGTCAAAACTTGGACAAATTACTATAGCCTTGATCCTCAATTTTCTAATTTGAACAAAGTGATTTTATGAATTAAATGAGAAAATATTTTAAGCACCAAACAGTGCCAGCACTGTAGAAATTCTCCCTGAAAAAAACTTAGGAAACAAATTAATAACAGTACTTACTGAATTTAAATAAGTGACAAGATGAATACTATGGTCAATAATTGCTTCAGACCTTTAGAGAAGGGGGAATTAATGTGGGCTGGGGCCTGGAAGGTGAAAGAACTCAGATGCTCAGGGAGAAATGGATAAAAGAGCTAGGGGACTAGGGAATAGCTTCCTGGTATGAGTAAAGGGATAGTTATGGAGTCTCATGCTTTGCACCTCACTCAAGATTACTGGAAGATCTGTGTCCAGAGAAGTGGAAAAGGCTGATTGGGGCAGATTATTGAAGGCACTGATGAGCAAGCCAAGGAGTTTACATTTCATTTGTGGGTTATGGGAACCATGAACATTTTTGAGGGATAGTGTATCAGGAAAATTAATCTGACCGTAATGAGCCATAGATTATCACATGGGGGAGGTGGGGATGAGGGAGTTCAAAACAGATGGGAAGTGAAGCGGTGTGGACTCCAGCGGTGCCAGAGGACATGGAAAACGTCAAGAACTCCGTCCAGTTTTGCTAGCTGCTGTGGCATGTTTGGCTATGTAGCCAATGTGAGGCCGGGTAGGTCTGGTTTAGGGAGGTGAGAGCACTGAGCACAATGATTCTATGCCCAAGGAATTCTATCTTAGCAACACTGTTGGAACACATACTTTCACTTGTGAAAATTAATAAAGAGAAACCTCATTTCAAATGGAGGCTATAGGCCAGAAGGGGGAGCTCCCTCACTGAGGTGAATTACAGACCACAACCGAAGACTGAACTGGAAAGGATCCTCCATGACAAGCCCTAACAGGAAGGGATATACATTTTATCTCCCACAAGAATTTTGCTAAGCCAGCAACTCCGCCAATGAGAAACCCTCATCACCCTGCACTCTGAATGTTTTCCAATGTATTTTTGTTCAAAATAACCCCTCCCAACTGTCTCCTTCTCATAAGTTCCTCTCCTTTGCTGTACTTGCCTATCGTTTTGCCCATAGCTTGCAAGTCCTGAATTGCATTTCTCTGCTATTCCTTAATAAACACATTTTTGCCTGATAAAATAACTTTCAATTTCAAGTGCCACATACTTCAAGAATGGATTTATAAATGCCGCCCTCCAAGGGGAAAGGCGGTATCAACTCTAGTGCCAACCCGAAGCCTTGAGGTTAGACTCACCTGGCTCAGCCTTCTCTGCCACATGTTGCCTATGGCCTTGGGCCAATCCCTCTATGTAGGAGACACTTAATGTCCATTGCAAGGTGTTCATAGGAGGGGAGAGAGATGTTCCCAAAGTGGGAGGCGCACCTCTTTCTTCCCTCGCTCTCTTTCTATGGTTCTTTCTTTCAACTAGGATTTCTTTCCCTTTTAATTACTTCCAGACGTGCAACCTTTTGGTAAAAATAACAAAGCTATGCCTGAACTCGAAAAAAAGAAGTAAATCAGAGAGAGCTCCTGCTTCCCCGCCAGCCAGACCGTGGAGCCCCACCCGGGAACAGGTCGGCTGGCCCGCGAGGGTGTGCGCAGGGATTTACGTGGGGCAGTGCGCCGGCGCCGCGCGGGGGACGACACGCCTGGGGGATGCACGTGACGCAGAGCGCTGGGGCCGTGCGCGTGGGCTGCGCGCCGAGGCGGTGCGCGGTGCGCGTGGAGGACGCACGAGCAGAGCAGGGAGGCCTGGATCTCACGCCCCGCCCTCCAGGTTTCCCGGTCGTCCTGACAACCAGGCGGCCCGCAACGGCGGCGGGGACGAGTCGTTGAGGCTGTGAGTCGAGTTAGGCCCCTGCGGACCTCGCCCGACTGGGCTGGGCCCTCGCCAGAGAGAGACCCACCTCCCTCCGAACAGGGACTATGAGAAAATGGTCGGGCAGACGAGGAGTAAGCTCAAAGAAGCGGCTTCAGAGCCGGTGCACTCCTCCCGCTCCATGCCGTCCAGGCGGCGGCGCCGGGCCACCGGAGCCGGGCAGCCGGAGATGGAGGAGTCGCAGGCGGAGATGGAAAAGCCACAGTCCCCTTTTCCCATAGGCGGGGGGAACCTGCCGGGGGGCGCCCGGGACTACTCGCCGCGTAGGACCCGAAATCTGAACGCGCAGAACTGCATGCAAATGGAGGTGGTCGCGAAGACCCTTCTCGGCCGCTTCCAGTTCCTCAGCTGTTTGCTGGAGCAGCTCCGGGACAAGGTGCAGCAGTTGCGGAGACGTCAGGTCAACAGCAGGACCTCTTTGGGCATAGGTGAGCAGAGGAGGCCGGGAGAAACCGTGGCAGGGCCGGAGGATGCCCTCTGACCCTCGGGTTTCAAGTGGTTTGGGTGAGTCCTAAAGATCAGCCTAACAAACAAGCTGGGCAGTCCTAATGACAAGGTCCAAGGTCGGGAAAATCGCCGACAAGAATTCCAGCTCCCTTTGTTCTTGTTTTAAAACATTTTCCAGGGTTTGGGGGCATAGTGATCACCCCTGTGTCACCAACAAAATGTCATTTTGGTCAGGGCAGCCATTTATCGCAGGTTGTAAATATGATAGGCTAGGCTAGTTCTTGGGGGCAGACATGTTCCTCTTGCACCTTAAAGCAAAATAAAGTGTTGGTTTAATTAGTTGAGAATCTTTAATAGTGGAAATAAGGTCAAATTAGACAATATATTGCCTCATGTCAGTACTCATTTACTTTCATTTTGCTGTGGAACTTCACTGCCTAGATTTGGGGAATTTTCTTCTAACTTAAGCACTTGAAAGATTTTTCTTTATTTACATTCTTCGTTTTCTGTTGCTTAAGAGTTAATTTAAATGTTGTTGTTTCATTAGAATAAAATTTGAGCCTAGCCCTTGGTCAGACTTGCTACTGATACACGTTGAAACGTAAAGAAATGTCTGCTAATGTAAGTTGTGATTTCTTTTCATCCTAAGTTGACTGCTGATGTTAAAGAACAATGAGTCTCCACATTTGGGGTGTTACAAGTACTAGAGGAATAATAGATGGGAATTCACACTTACATTTTATCAGATGTCTAATTTCGGCAACAGAAAACATCCCACATCCAGAATCAAAATGGTCTTGGATACTGGAGCCGTCTTGCCATCCCAAACACAAGCGCCTGAGCACCCATGTCTGGCACACCGAAGGCACTCAGTGAGTTCTGGGTGAAATAATGACTGAGTATATTAAGTGCTGAGGAGAGTTCAAGAAGAGCAAACTAATACTTTAGGATTGGAGGTGGGATATGAGATCAGAGAAGACTTTTAGGAAAAGGTGGGATTGGAATTGTGATATTAAGGCTAACATTTGGATGTGTAAGGCAGAAAACAAGTATTAGAGGCCAGTAAAATGGCATAATTGAAGTCAAAGAAGTGAGAAAACATAAAGGTAAAGTAAGGTGGAAAGGAAGGACACAAAAGGAAGAGGAAGTGGAAAGTCAAGTTCAGAAGGTTGGCTGGGACTGGCAGTGGAGAATCTAATTCAAAACTTGGTTTAAAGAATTTGAATTTCATTCTGTAGAAGGCACTGATTGATTCTTTAAGAAAAAAAATTTTTTAAAGGAGATGAAATACACATCATATAAAATTAACCATTTTAAAGTGAATAATTCTGTGGCATTTAGTACATTCACAATGTTAGCATTGAATAATTTTTAAATAGAGTGACATCATTAGTCTAACAGTGGTTTGCAAAATAGACTGGGGCTGGATGGAAAAAAGAAGCAGAAAAAAATAATTGAATACTGGAATCCAGGCAATAGTGGTTTTAGAGAGGGTGGCAACAACAGGAATGGAGAAGAGAGGACAGAGGTGAGCGTCAATGGAAGCATTTTGTGAGGGCTGGGTATGTGGTGCGGTGGAAGGACAGGGACAGAGAAAGTTTAGCAATGAGGACTGTAGATCTGGGAATTGTCCATGTAGAAGTGAATTGAAACTTTAAGATTAAGATTCCCAGTGAGAGAAAAGTGGGCAAAGCAGAGATATTTGGGAAAACCTCTTATACTTAGTTTTAAGAGGTGAAAGGAAAAGGAAAAGTCAGAAAAGCATATAAAAACAGAGTGGTCAGAAGCATGGAAGAACTGGAAGAGTTGGTAATAAAAGATGAAGAAATCCAAGAATCTGGTCAGATGCTACAGAGAGGTTTGAAAAACATAAGAGTTTAAAGAGGCCATTGATGTTGCTAACTAAAATGTCATTGGTCATTTTTTTTAAAAAAGTTATAAGAACTTAGAAGAAAGAAGCTGGCTAAGAATCTTGTCAGCAAATGGGGTTATGGGTTGGGTGGGGGAGAGAATATGTCATAGTTTGCAGGGCTTTTAGATCAACGGAAGTGTTTTGAGGCCTAGGAGAATTGAAGGCTGTAGAGAAAGGTCTTGGGGAGAGGGTGAGATTCAGGTTCCAAGAGAGGAAATAGTTGATGGAGCGAAGTCTTGGAATTTTGAGAAGGGTGGAATTAGAGGCACAAATTTGAGAAGCTAACTGGAAAAGAGAAGAGATACTTCCTTTGCTGAGATGGTAGGGAATAGAAAAATGAGGATTAATATGTAGAGAAATGTTAAAGTAGATATAAGAGAAGTTGGGAGTGCTTGCATCAGATGATCTCTGTTTCAGTGAACTATGAGGCTAGGTCACTTTCAGAGGTAAGATTGACAGGATATAGGGGTCATGAAACATGCTTTTTATCTCATCTTTGGAAGAGGCTTTGTGCATTTAGAATATTGGAATCATTACACTTTACCATTTTTTCAGGTGTGGAATGTGGGGTTGGGGAGGGAATGAAAGACACGAATATTTTGAGGATTTTGGGAAGGCTAGATGGGTTTAGTAGGGTATTTGATCTTTTCCCTTTCCTTAAACATCATTTTTAAGAGTTTTTTTTTTCTAGTACATGTAATTGTTAGAGACTAAGAAAGAATAGAAATATCGTTGAAATAGGATGGCGTATGTATCTTAAAGTTAATGAAGCCTGACAAGTTGAGAAAGAAGATACAGGTTTAATTTCAGAGGGGTTCAGAGTATATCACGTATTAGAAAGAGCTAACGTAGGTAGTGAGTATGTACTTTTTCTCCCATCCAAGTACTAACCAGGTCCGACCCCGCTTAGCTTCCAAGATCAGACGAGATTGAGCGCGTTCAGGGTGGTATGGCCGTAGATGAGTATGTACTTTTTCTATAAAGAGCCAGGTAGTAAATATTTTAGGCTTCACAGGTCACATATGGTCTCCATTGCTTATTCTTCTTCTTTCATATTTGTGTACCCTTTAAAAATGTGATAAGCATTTTTAGCTTGTGGACCGTACAGAATCAGATCATGGGCTGTAGTTTGCTGATCATGGTATAAAACAAGCAGTTCTTCTGAGAAGTACTGAAGAGTGGTAGGAATAAGCCCAGGATGGTTAGGAATGTGGAGAACAAGAGCTGGAGAAGCATGATTGGGAATTTTTTTTCAAAATTATAATTTGCTATTATTATTAATATATTGATTTACATTTATTTTGTTAGTCAAGGTAATTTCTTGAATTTTTAAGAGGCTAAAGTTGGTGGTTTGTTAAAATGACTTGCCGAGTATATCTGGGACAACCATAAGAAATATAATTTATTTATTTTATATTATAAAATTATATTTATAAAATAGTACTATTATAAAATAGGAGGGGAGGCAGGAGTTTAGGAATAGGGTATTCACTCCTCTGTAATAGTGACAAAAATACTTAGAAAATTGTCAGAATCAACTTTTCAAAACTTTATAAATTAACCAAAGGTTCACAACATCCTAAAGAGCATGTATTCAAAAACACTACTGCAGTTGTGTAAGACCAGTAGGGTTTGTGGCTTTTTAATTTGGCCTCATCCTGTGCCCCCTTCCCAGTTTTATGGTATCCTTGAAAACAAGCAGCATCCCAGCCACCAGCAGGGTCAGACAGTGTTTGCAGCTCCTCAGAAAGACCCATACGCACAGTAGTGTTCCTGTTTTACCTATCTCCACACCCTCTGATAAAGCCTCATGCATAGGGTGCAGACTGGGCGACTGTAGATGAATCTCCCAGGCCAGTAGTCTGGGGGCAATCAAAACTCCATAAATAGGGGTTTTCAGATGTGCTGCTGAGGAATCGACTTCCTGCATTTAACAATTTCTGACGAGCACAGGGAAGGTGGTTTAGAGTGGACCAGCTTGTAGGCTAGAGTCACTTCTGAAAGGATTGAGCTGAGCACAGTGTATATATGTGCTTGTTTTAAAAAATGTATGTAAAGAAATAGAGAATAAGAGGGAGAAGAGAGAATAAAGTGAAAATCCCCCCAAAGGTCAAAATCATTAATAATTTCATCACTTTTTTTGCAAGTTATGTAAATGAAACGTACACTTCCAAGTTTCCCTTTGCTCCTTGAATCCCGCCAGAGGTAAACACTATTCACAATTTGTTTTATGTCAGTTTGTAAATTTTTCCTATTTTATATAGAGAGAATTAGCTAGCCATCTTCCTTGTGTGTGCTCTTTCTTTAGGCATATAAGGGAATGCATTTGAAATAGTT